GTTCACTAGACAATTGTTTACACTCCGAGCTTTTAGTAGAATCAATGAGTGAAGAAAAATCCGCGCATTTACAGCAGATTCGGAGGCAGAGCTGCGAGTGGGGATCAGATTTCGCATCATACGGATAGCCGACAGGTCACCACTGTGTCTGTGTGTTTTAGTTATTTTCTGTGGATTGTGGTGTGACCAGAGGGGTAGATTTGCAGGGATTAACCCTCTGCTGGGAAAAAGGAGCAAGTTTTCCTTTAAATTCTGTGAATGAGCCGGTAGATCACAGTAATGAAACATAATGTGTGAACTTCTTGTGATACGGTGGATGGAGAATACACCTCTCTCCCAACCCATTTCATCTGGAAAACATTGCAAAAGTTTAAATGCTACTTTAAAAATCTAAATCAATGACAAGCTGTCTGTCCGCTGCCACTGGAATAATATTGTTCCTGCGTCGTCCTCACATTATCACCTGAGGATTACCGTGTGTTGCAGGTTGAAAGAGAGGGGTCGTGGTTATCCAGGAGAGGGTCAGTCCCACTTCAGAAATCACATTGTCTACTTCTTATCTCTGCAGCGCAGATAAATCCTGCAAACTGCTTTTCTTGCATGTTTGTTTGGTTGACCTCCTGCTTTCAGATGATAAAACTATCAGTTCAAAGCTATCTTTTAGTCTGGATTGGTTTCTGAAACATTTATGTTAACACATTTTTGTGATTTTAGAGTTATTGCTGTAAATAGAAAAAAAAAACATTTAAAGGGTTGTATCATGTATTTTCCATTCTGTAGCGCAATCAAGTATCTATGCCACCTTCAGTTGTTACAAAAATGTTGTACTTAACTTAAAAGAAATTTGACGGTGCAATTTGCTACCTTGAAATTGGGCCTCTGTCTCTTTAAGAAGCTCCTACTCCTTCCGACACTTCTGCACTTCATCACAACGATGCTTCTCATTATGCCATTTGCAACTATACTTAGGAGCAAATGCAAAGTATGTTGTATGTTTAGCTCAGCAGACATGACGTTCCATCAGGTGTTTGCCAATTGCTGCTGCCGCTAGTCTGGTGGGACTGATTGGGAGAGGTGTAGGAATAGATGCTCAGATTTGCAGAAAATTGTTTTAAAAAAAATGAGACGCAGTTGTGTATACAAAAAATGTCTTGTTAGTGTCAGTTAGAAAAGCAATGTTTGTCCCAAAAACCACTCAGTACAACCAGGTATGCAGTAGACATCTCTGGTCAAACATAAAGAAGATTTTAGGCACATTTTGGGTTTCTTAGTACCAATTGCGTACCAAAGTTTTGCAGAGTTTTAAAAACAAACTAACTGGGCTTCCCAATCACAGAAATAAGTAAGATACAATGCTGGAACGGATTTGTCTCCGTTCTCTGTGTTGATTATTTTGTATAATGTTCATGAAACCTTTAATTTTCCCTCTGGTATTCAACAAGCGAGACGTGTTTCACCATCCTTATGTGCTTTTAGACTACACAGTTAATACACTGAGCGTTTGAGGGCTTTCCCCCAGACGCGTTTCCTCCCTCTCGCCTGAAACAGGTGGGAAAGTTGCATGTAGGTCACTATAATGAATCTCCCAACATAGTTTTTGTGAAAAGATCTTTGCTGCTGCAAGTTCTCTTCCAGATGCAACCGGTGCTCCAATCTGTGAGTCACCGTGTCTGTTGAGACGCCCACCGCAACGATGTCACACCTGAGTGAAGCCAGACATGCCTGTGGGGCTCAGTGATGGAAGCAGCTTTGATTTTTACAGACATTTCCATAATTCTACCTATAAATCATCTCTCCGACTAACTTCTGGTCTCAAATTTTAGAGACAAAACAAGTCTGAGGACAGAAAAAATAAACAAGGATTGTTTGCATTTCTCACCTCGTTAAATGCATGACAAAAATGCCTTTTGTGAGATTAAGAAAGCTGTATGTACCGTTTCTGTGAAAAGGGAAATGTCTGTGCACAGAGAACAGACAGTAACAAAATAATAAAAAAAAATAAACTCTTTGGAGAGAAATTTGGGCCCTAACATATCTTTCTCACAGGACTGTAAAACTGAGTTAGAAACATGACCTGTCTACTGTAAGTGTGTGCAACTAAAGTGAAATTTTGCGTCATCTCAGTTGGATCTCAGTTTTCCCTGTTACATCATCCATCCATATACTATCTGCCAAAAAAACAAAGTTAAAACTTATTCTCTATCCTGTTATCCTCAAGTGAATTTAATATTAGGTGGTAAAGCAGCCTCTCTTTTATTTTCCTGCCACTTCCTAATGTAGTGTACATTTCTAAAGCTATTTGGGAATTTTCTTTCATACTGAAATTAGACTTTGACATCCAGTTTTGGATGTCAAGGCTATGAATCTTTCAGTCAGGAAGACTGTCTGTAAATGTAGAAGCGTCTTTGTTAAAATTTCTGACCCTTCTTCCAGAATAACATTTTGGAACATCAGACACTAATGTTGGAAGTGAAGGTTGCTCATCCCAAAAGAGCTCAGTCAGGTTGAAGTCAGGACTCTGATCAGTTCAGTTCTTCTCTACCACATCTTTATGGAGTTACTTTGTGCACTGATTCACTATTATATTATAACAGGAACCATTTGTTCATTGCAACTTAGGTGTTGAGCCCAACCACTGAAAATTAGTCCCACACTCTAACTTTGCCTTAAAGTTTACACTTTGCATCACATCATAAGGCTTGGATGCAACTGCTTAGACAGTGAAACCCTTTCCAAAAAGTTTTCTATGCACAGATCTGGAGCTAATCTGGAGCCCACATGAGGCCTGAGGGCTGTAGCTGGTGACTGAATTCAATTGTTTTGGGTCAACATAGTGTATGTTAACAATAGATTTTTCAAAGGCTAAATGAAAAAAGATAGAAGCAACTTCCACGAATATCTACGCCACACATCAAAAGCCCAAAAGGTACAATTATGGAAATTATTTTTCACAAAACAAATTAAATCAAAGCAGACATATGCTGCACAATTCCTCCTTGCATCATTTGTTTAGGTTAGATGGCGACCATGTCAGCGGCATGGCCTGTTTTTCTTAACGAACTCTGAAATAACTTAACAATACATTATCCAGCAGCATAAATGATTTTAGTCAGTGCGCTGCCCATGTACCACAGTTGCAGTGATCGAGTCAACTCTACCCTTCAAGTGGTGTTGCTCTTTCAAACAGTGGCTCCAGAGGCAGCAGGTGTGCTGAACTGCTGAGCTCACTTTCCACATGAATAAGATGTGACTCACTAGTGGGGAATCCAAGGAGAAAACTGGGCAGGAAAAAACCCCAAAAACAAAGACCAGACTGAGAGCTCTGTGGACAATAACGACCAAAGGAATTCAGGTTTGGTAATTAGTAAAATGAAACCCAGTGTTCAGGCAGCGGAAAGACAAATCGACCGAGAAACACGAAACATTGAAGAACAGAAGCAAAAGAACAAGCAAAACAAGAGAAACTTAATAAAACCTAAACTTGATCTGTATCAGTTTTCTTCATTTTCACAATCTCCAAAACCCTTAGGAAACTATGAGTGGTGTGGAGCTGCTCTTGTTATTGCTCTTCTGTTCTCTTTGCACTACAGTTAAACATTGATTTTGCTTCCTTCATATCAAGCATACATTTTTGTTGACATTTTACACAAGTTCAACTTTCCATTCACACAATAAACAGTCAAACACATGCATTTCATCTAAATTTCAAATTGGGTGCAACACATTGCACAAATATCTTTTGTTATTCAAAATGAATTTAAAGTCGATAAAATAGTCCAGATGTTGTCTCGGATGCTGCTAGAAAAGACTAACGAAGAGGATTTTTCATGTTTTAATTTTTTTCTATGTTGAACTTTTAAGATATTTTGTGTGAAATGTAATATCTCTAAAATATATAGTTCCACACAATATTTGGGGGAATTGATTCTCCTCTAACCTCATTATATAAGTACTTAATAAAAAAAAAGAAGTTCCAAATGCAGAACGTTGCTTAGCTGAAAGCAGAGAAAGATCTGTTGTGATTCAAAGTGGGACTGACAACTGTAGGGAAGTGTGGACAGAGCTACTGCGACTCAGTGAGTCTCACAGAATCCATGATGACAGCTTCAAATCTGACTGATGCTGGAGATGGATAAAAAAAAAGACCAGCCTGGGCTCCTGGTGCATTTGCTGAAATTATTTATCTTTTATTTTAAAAGGTGAGATATCAAATTCAAATGGAAACCTGGAAGTCCCAAATAGGGAAAAGGAAGCTGTGTTTTATCTGAGTCAACACCTTACAGTTAGGGAGGAAATGGGGGTTAATAAAAACAGGAAATACAATGGAAGGAAACAGGAAATGAGGGAAGCTATATCTGACACACAATACAATCAGTTTCAAATAAAAAAAAATACTTTGATATCTAACGGAAATTGAGTACAATGGTTTGTATGAAAAGTTCATAATAAAACATACGTTTCTAGTGGTGGTGGAGGAAAACGCAGCGAAAACAGAGAAGAGTTGATCAAGGTTTTTCCATTCCGAAGAGAGTAGCGGCCCCTGCTGGTCAATGGTAGTAACTTTTTAACTGTGGAGTCCTTTTTTTTTATTGAATATTTGAGATATGGGAAAATAACTGAAAAAAGAATTTGAACTATTTAACATCTAATTTAAAAGAAAGTTAAACTGGAAAAAGAGCTGCAGAGATGCTGTAAAGTTTACAGGAATTTGTATTTAGGTACATTTGACTTAAGGCAACAGATGGGGTGTAAGACATTTAGAAGGATCAAACATCCAGCTGTCAGAGGTTAGATTTCAAAAGGTTTATGTCAAGGATTTGATGGTCACACTGTAGGTTTGCAACATGTTGCAAAATTTCTTTACATGTGCAAAGTTCATGAGACTTAATTGTGAATCTTCCACTTCACATTTATGCACCACTTTGCTTTAGTCACAAAACATCCAAGTAAATTTTGCACTGTTGTGCTTTAGAGATCTTTTTAAATGAGACCGCAAAACCTTCAGGGAAAACGGTCTTTATTTTGTCATATCAGGATCAAAAACAAAAGAAACATACAAGTCAAAACCCAAAAGACACCAAAGTAAGAACATCAGCCAATTTCCCCCCATCACAAACAAAACAATTCACACATTGCACATTTCAGTCTCAGTCAAAGATTAGAAAATTCAAGTCATGGTTTCAGATTTTATGACCAAACACACATTTTAGTCTTTCATTTCACATCACAAAGGAAGAAGTTCTTAGAAAGTGCGTGCCCATATAAAGGGTCTCACCAGAATTAAAGACCTTTTAGCTGTAATTCTCTCTGTGAACAGGTTAAGTGATCTGATCCTCGGCTAATCCAGCTAACGTTGCCTTTAATCTTTTAATCCAGTTTTCTCCTAAACTACGGATTAGGTTAGATTTGTTGAAAGGTAGATGGGCCCCTTTTGTTTGAAGAAGCACTGTGGTGGAAAATATGACCGCACACAAACTCCATTTTAAAGTTTTCAAGCGTTTCTGAAAACAACAATAAACCTCCGCTTAGCTCACATCATGGAACGGTGCAAGCAGCACTTTATCGAAACTAGGAGAGAGGAATGCACACTTCTCCTGCCCTGTTACTGAGACACAAATTCAATTGTTGCAAGATTAACACTTAGGCTTTTTTTTTTTTTAAATAAGTAGACTCAACATTTATTCTGCAAGTAGAAGTAATCCACAGTTTAAAATTTAGTCCAGGATCAATGTCTATACACACCACGTCCCACCTTTCATGGTTCATTGATTGAAATAAAAAAAAAAAGTTTTAATGTCTTTTTACCTTTAAGACCTGAAAACAATCAAATGAGATTATAATGAAATAAAGTTAAACTAAATACGATTTGCTGTAACATTTTGTAAGAATGTTAGGAGACACCTTTGTAGCGATCAGTTGGTCTTATTCACCATGCCCTTGGTTTTCAGCTCTGCCAGCTTGCTGGTAACAAAGTTCCACTTAAAGGAGGCGTCCTCGCCGCTCCCTCCCAGCGTCACATATTTAGAGAAGCTGTTGTTGCTGCTGCTGCTGCTTCCCGCTTCCGTCTCCTCAGCCGGGCCGACCTGCTGCTCCTCCCCTGCGGCCTGAGTCTCTCCTTCCTCACCTGACTCTGCCACACCCTCGTTTGCTGCTGCAGCTGCTGCAGCAGCAGCTTCGGCCTGCTTCTTTGCAGCAAAGTTGGTTGCGAAACTATCCCAGAATCCACTGCGCCTGGTCGGTCGAGGAGGTTCTTCAGGTTTTGCTGCGAGAGGGCTGACAGTTCAGGAAAGTCATGGGTGTTATTGACCGTGTGCTTCAATAATGTATCCCAATTTAGATTTTTTTTTTTTTAAAAGGTGGATATCATCAAAATTATTCAGTTTGATGAGAAATGCTTAATCTTGAAGCAGACAAACTGAACTAGATATCTTTGGGATGAAGGTGATGAAGTTCTCTTGAGATTTTCTTTTAATGATAAAATTACTTTATTTTAGAGCCTCAGAGAAACATTTCATACAAAAGGTCTTACAGATTTTACATCAATAAATTTAAACCAGTTTTTGACACCAATAAGCTGGAACGTAAATCCGCTCTGGACTCACTGGTCAGCGACAGGCGGGCACTCGGTCTCCTCCAGAAGCTGGTGCTCATCCTCTTTGTTGAAGAGAGACGAAAACCTGTTCCAGCTCTTAGCGCCGGCCCCCTGCATCTGAAAAAGCAGACACGCAAAGGTCAAAGTTCATATGATAGGATATATTTATGTTTTTCAAAAAAAAAAAAAAAAAAACAAAGACCTCATTGCTTAGAAACTCAAAAGAGGAGCTTTAATTGTATTCGCTGTCAACGCAGGTATTGGACTGACTTGTCATTGTATGTTGACATTTATCGGTGCTCAGGTCGACTGATGGCATACCTTTCTGGCCAGCTGAGAGACGGCGTTGGGCCCTTCATCCTCCTGTATTGGACTCATGTCATGTTCTACCTCTGTGACCTGCAACAGCATTGGACAAAATGAATGGTCAACTTCACCTTTTCACCTTCCAGTGTTCAATTAATGCCGTAGACCAGAGTTTCTGTAAAGATACCGCCATCTAGTGTGCGTTCTGAATACTGCAACCTGCAGAAATTGTGGTAAACTCTTATTAGAAGATCTCATTAATTGTTGCCTTCCGAGAATATACATTTCATTGTGTGACACTTTGGAAAAAAATACATTGTTTTCTTTTATCTATTGCTCCATTACCTTGCAAAATAATTTAAAGGTTGTTTAAATGTGACAAAAATAGATCCAGAGAAACCTCTATTAGTTTATAAATTATGGACTTAACCTTATTAAACATGGGGAACTAATATTTAGTTTTATGCTTTTATTTTCTTGTCTTTTAGTTTTGTTGTTTTGTTTGTATTTCCTTCCAATTCATGCAAAGCACTCTGAACTGCCTTGTGGCTGAAAATGTGACTTACCTTCCCTAAACTGACTTGCTAAGCAATAGGATCTAACCATTAACCTTCTCCACACGTGCAATGCATCATTTTGTCCTAACAGGAACTCTAGCATTTCAACGAGAGCACAAGTTGAAGATGTCAGCTGATCTGATCCGATCCGAGTGTGCGCTGAAGAGTTGGCTATTTGTCTCATCCCCTGTCAGTCAAGCACTGGAAGGCCAACTAATCCGCCAGCTCAGCTCCATCCCGAGATCGAATTTCTCTGCTCTGCAGCAAACTGGGTCAGCACAGCACCGTCTGTTTCAGCGGCAGCAATTCCAGCAAGAACTAAACCTGCTGCAGTTGGAAATAGACAAGCATTTTTGTTCTTCAAAATATAAAAAAACTCTGTTCGAAAAATATTATCTTGAAAAAGTGCCAAAGATGCTTTGGAAATTTGATTGTTGTAGCCATTTTGCGAGAAGTAGTGTCCATAGCCTCAGAGTTTAGCTCCTGTAGATGAATTGATGGTTAGAAGTTAAAAATATATATATATTCATTTCCTCAAATGGTTTTAGAGATAATTTTTTTTCTTGCTTAAGCTTATCTTGTGTTCAGTTTTTTTTCCTAGTTACAAAATATGAATCATATTCAACCCTAGTAGACAACTCAAAAAGCAATGATGTTAAAATACAATTAGTATTTCTAAACTAATATTTCCATGTCTGAAGTCTCAGACTATATTCAACACATAAATGAGTTAAAATGCACAAGATGATAACATCTTTCATCAAGTTTCTTTCACATAGAAAGGACATCATCCTGCAAGTTGTAGCCAACTTTGTTTCAAATATTACAAAAATAAAAAAATAAAGCAAGTGACCCGATCTTGGTGTCAATCAAGTGAGCTTTCTCAGATTTGATCGTTTATCTCGTAGTTGTGTGTAAATCCTTTACCTCCTCTGCAGTATCCTCCTCATACTCAGGATTCAGAGTCTTCATCACTTTGCCTTTATACACCTTCCACATGGGATTCATGTTTGCACAAACTGATGCTCAACGCTCAGAGGAAACACCTGTGAAGACCTCTGCCGCTCCAAGTCGCCCACCCTCCACCGAGTCTCTGCTTCCAGCTTCAGGACGTCTCAGTTGGGCCTCAGCAGACCTGTTTCCATGTGGGAAAACGTTCAGCGGGCGGCAAACACAGAAAACCTCTTCAGAACGAACGTTGGAGTATTCTCATACTCTCCCTTTGATCAGCTTTGGTCTATTTCTTCAGGACAAACAGGTTAGCGGCAGCTGCCGTTCCAACACGGCGTCTTGCACAGGTAAAACTAGGAAATCGTGTTGCTCGTGCATGAAGCCAAACAACAAGTGTGAATGCACATGCACTGGCATTCGTCACAGTACATTCTACCTGCCTTGGTTACTTGGAAACAGGTGTGGATTTCCTCATTTATATTTTAGAGGGTCTCTTTTTGCAGAGCCAGAGCTGTATTGTTTGCCAACTTTGGTAGGACGGCTCCTGCACACACAAGAGCTAATTACAGACATGGGTACGTTAGTAAAGACAACCTGAAATGTTCTTTTATTTCAATTTCATGTGGATTCTCGACTTGTGTTCGACACAAACATAAAATCCTAGTTCTGTTTTTACTCAATCTTTTAGTGTTTAACTTGAGTCTGAGTTGTGTGTATTTATGGAAACTCACCTTCACGTTGTGTTTCTGTTACATGGCCACTTCCTCATCATCCTTTTCACAGATGAGATTCAGGTGTGCAGTGAGTTTGTTTTTTTTGTTTTTTCTCACTCTGACACCTGGCCACCTGAGATGGCTGTCTGCTGCTGTTAGATAAAGAAGCATAAAGCTCTGACGAATGATTGCATTTCACTAGAACTAAGCAAAGTTTTGCTTTTTTGACTCAATTCATCCTGATTAACGAATATTTTTGTGTTAAACTTAAATCTTGTATTTGTTGTGGTAAAAACTAATAAATTTATCCTCCTGTTACTTACCAAAAGAAAGGACTGATTATAGCCTTGATTACGCAGCAAAGAAATGGGATCTAGCTTGTGTTGCTGTCTTGCTCTTGTTAACAGATTAGCAGGGATGAAGCTGTTAAGTCAAACAGATCCATCATTTGAAAATGAATAATACATTCAAGTGAGTAAACAACGCAACTACTTCAACACCAATATCTGTTGCTTCTTTGGAGGGGAGCCAATTTGCTGGGGCTGCTCAGGTTTCACTCAGCAAATAAAGGTCACACCCAATGATTTAGCAGAGCCGACACACAGGACAGTGCAGAGTGGTTTGGTGGATGGCCTACTTATATTTTTAGGGGACTTAAAGTCCCCTAAAAACACCAGCTCATGAAGTACTTATGGAAGTGCTTGCATTCTTTAAAGTAAAAATAAAATAAAATAAAGTTTGAGATGTTCTGAACTTATGGATTTGTTAAAAATGTACTTCTTTTGCAAGAAAGTTGTTCATGATGGGTCATCGTCAAAGTTTATTGGTTACTGAACAGCATGTTGACATTTTTATTGTCAACATAAGGCCTTCTTATGCTTTTCATGCTATAAAAGGACAATTTCATCAGTAGTTACCGTTTCAACAGTACGTACTACAACATCTGAACAGAAAGTTTTTACATAAATAGTACAAAAAAGTAGTTAACATGTCTGTTTTTGGAAATAAATATTTATTTTATATTTTCTTTCCACAGCTCTTCTGTTTTCTAGATTAAACACAAAGAGACTCAGACGGCCACCAGATGGCTCCAGAGATTTTTGACACGTTCATATTGGATTTGGTGATGTTGAAAGAGAAAGCATCACTATTTTTTAGGGGGGGGGGGGTTATAATTTAAATACTGCACAAATCTTGTTGCCTTAGCTTAAAATTCATCTTGAACATGCAGCTGCTAAAGTCTGACGACCAGTATTTACGTAATCCAACTTTATTTCTTGAACACATTTATGACAAGTTGATCATCTTAATTCTGTAACCGTCTTATCGTTTATTCTCTTTTTTTATTATTATTTTTATTGTCACAGTCAAGAAAATCCAGTTTTGGACCTCAGGCCAAATATCTTTAGGGATACAAAAGCATCTTTCTTGATGTTTGCTGTGAATGTTTAAATAAGTTTTTCAAATTGCATGTTTCAACTAAATATTTTCATTTTCAACAAGACGTGTTTCTGCAGAAGCTCCTCACAACAGATCTAATCAATAGTTCTTGACTGTTAAGTCTTATCTTGTTTTGAAACTGCAAACTTTTGGCAAGAAACTTTGAATGACTTAAGAATGAGAACGACCCAATTCTACTTAAATCTAAACAAATACAATGCTATTTTTAAAATAACATATTTTTGTAGATGCACTTTTTGTGTTTTCTGTAGGTAGTTGATTCTTTTGCTGTAGACTTGTCATCACTGTTCTCTTTACCACCAGAGGGTGGCGACAGTAAAACGCTCCCATCCTCTGGAGTGTTACTTAAGAGATGTGGAACAGAATGTACAAAACAGAGAAAACATTTTCACATACATCTGCATGCCACAGTATCACATGCACGACTCAAAATAATCAAATGTTATTCAAATTTGTGTTATCCTTCCCAGATTAAATGCCATAAAATGTAAGGTTTGCATTTCACTTACGAGGGAAAGTAAAGTTTTGTTTTCCAAGAGGAAAACGGGACCAAAAACAAAACATGACTAAAGTTAAACTTCAAGATGTATTTGATGAATTCATTTTTGCTAAACAGACCTCAAACCTTCAAAGCATTTGAGACGGACATTAAAGGAGGGAAGAACTTTCATTGTCGACAAATTCAATAGAGCAGCTGGAAATATGGCCAGAGGGCTAAACAGAAGCAAGAGAGTCAAACTGGTTCCTTCTGTTAACGTTCAGCAAACTAAATTATGACAATAAACTCGATGTGACAGATGGAAGAATTATCACCAAAATTCATGGAAATAAGGAAATTAAGAACCGAAGTATGGAGGAATTTTTCTGCCATAATCCAAGAGCACACGTTTCAGTCGGAAAGCAGGATTTCATGGCAGAAAAATTCCTCTATACCATTCTGAAGGCTATTCAAAGTATGATAAAGGCTTGTTTGAGTAACAATATATAATCATGTTTGCAAAATTAGAAAAAAAATTTAAGGAAACTTTGTTTTTGTGCACCATTAATAAACACCAATTTAGCCCATTTGACTTCAATTTTTTGTGCAAGAATAAATAAATGTGACAAAAGCATTTTTTTTCAAACTCATGCCTTGCATTTGTTCCTCAGAAACCTTTTTCCTGCAAAAGAAGAGGCTGCTAATTTTTTATGTTATAAAATGTGAAAAACATGACTCATTTTTATTCCACTATGTAACATACCATAATACACTACTTTCAGTTGATCCGTTACATAAAATCTCAATAAAATACGTCTATGCGTGTTTGACTAAGTATAAAAAAAAAGGGGAAAAAAAGTTTCAAAAGTACATCCTACTCTGAAATGTAGCAAAGAGCATGAATCTGGAGTTAAAATAGTAATTCCTCGCCCACTTTCCTGTCAATTAACTATCAAATAGGGGCCACTAGAGCCAAAAAAAATCTTTAAAAAAAAGTAAATAAAAACATTGTAGTTCCTCGTAGTCAGTAGATGCCGTGTTGTCTTTCACCACTTATTAAATCTGAGAAAGAACTAGGTTATATTTATAAGGTCCTGTGTGACAGGAGAAACTAGATTTGATGACAAGTCATAAACACATTCTGAAGAGCAGAAATTTTGCTGGGCTTTCTGCCATCACACACTGGTGATAAGAAGATCTCACCCTCTGAGGTTTGTTCAACACTGAAAACAAATTTTCCATACGTTTACATATTTTGTTATAGTTTCTATGTCTGGATATTTGTTCTCACACTTTGCAGCCTCACAGATGCAGTCCTGCTTTGACCATTATTCTCTGCTTTACAGTACAAATCAACTTTACCTTTAACTTTACAAACAGCTGTGCCTTAAAAATTGAAAATAATACACACTATAAAATGAAAATAAAAATCATTCTGTATCTCATTTCTGTCAAAGTGGGTGCAGGTGTATTATCAGAACACATGGCATGATAAATCTGCCCTCATCCATCTAAGCGCCCTGTTTGCAGGATTTTGTCACCTCCTCCCTCCAACTAGTATCCACATAACCGCTTCCAAGAACTTGTTAACTTAGTCTACGTGTGAAGGGAGGGTTAAAACTTTCATAGAGCTGATGCATGGTCAGAATTACACTCTGGATGTTCCACACCAAAATAGATGTGAATGTAAAGACACTCATTTGAGAACACGAAGACAGGATGAGACTTGTGTTTAATAGGTGAAGGGTGTGAAATGAACCCCGCTGCGTTTTGCTCCAGTATCTGGTGCCACGTCCTGTATTAGAAATACCTGCATGATAAAAATATGATAGAGAAGGTCAAGGCCCTGACGATGCTAAATGTCAGATTGAAATAAATGTTTTTTTCTCTTTCAAACTGCAAATGCTGATGACATTATTGATGCAGGGAAACCCAAGTAAGCAGGTCAGCTGTTATAGCCAAGATAATGGCTATAACAGCCATTTTGCATTACTACAATAAAGAATAACTTTTTTTTTTTTTTTAAAGAATATAATACACCAGCGACTTCAAACAACTTGTTTCCTTGTTTGAAGAGCAGTTCAGAGGGATCAAAATTATAAAAAGCTGTAAAAAAGAGCTATATGGTAAAGGAATACTAGGAGAGGGACTCTTTTACCTTACAAAGCAGGACATTCAGAAGTGGTATTGGTAGTTATGTTGTGTAGCCAGTCTTCAAAACATTTTCTCCCATGACCAGCTACTTTATGATGTATTTTTCTTTTTGTGGATGACTTTGGGTTCAGTTAGACATATTTTCTTCAGTTGTAATTGGAGCCTTTACAGTTGCTAAGCTAAGCTAACTCTGAGCTATGACACCTAAAATTAGCTCCGGTTTTTAAAAAGTACTGAAGTTGATGTGGCTGAAAACAGAGTTTTGAAGGCATCAGTTAGCTTAAATGTAATAAGTTAATCAAACGGGTAAATCATTTTCTCAACTCTGATCATCAGGAGCTACCGTCCTGCAACTTTAAGGTGAATTCTTGCTTCAATATTCCTGAATCAAATGGCTAATTACCAGGCCTCTGCAGAACTTGATGTCACACTGAGGAGATAATCGAGTCATTTGATTCAGGTGAGTTGGAGCAGGGATTCATCTAAAAGCAACAATAACTCCAAAGCGCTGGAGTTGGAGGCCCTTGGACTGATTTAAAACAAATTCTCACTTATTTCATTTTCTGAGCACCCTTTGTCTTGTTTGGAGTAAAGGCCCGACAGGGTGTCAAAGGGGCGTGACATTGGCTGCTCTCTGCTTGTCAGTCCTTTGGATGGTTAACAAAGGAAGAAATCACCATGCAAGCCCACACTCCCACCTACGGCCGATTTAGAGCAACCAATTAACCTAACAAGCATGCTTTCTGGACTGTGGGGAGAAAAAAAAACAGAGGATACAGAAAAAAAACTGATACATGCATAAGGTTTTTAGCTGACATTACCTACCACTTTACGTTCAAATTTTCTAATAACAGATGAAAAGGAATTATTTTCTGAAATTCTTAATAAAAACATCGATTAAAAGGTTGAAAGATTTACAATCAACCCAATTTGACTCTGGCATTTGGACTATGCACCACTGGATTCTGCAACTAATTTGCTAACTTCTTTTCTGAGAAAACTCTAAACAAACAAACAAAAAAAGTTTTCTAACAGGATAACAAATATAGATTTGATGTTCAACATCAAATTTCCATAACCCTTGTATGTGGAAATGGGTTCCAACCGAACCCACACACGTAAAATTTGCATCATTTGCCGCAGTCCTCTACCTTTGCCTTAGTCCTCGAACGCACAAGGGTTAAGAAGGTTCTGTCTCTC